CGGAAACCTCCATCACCGACGTTCCTTCCGACGGAGAAGATGACCTATACGCTCGCCTGAAATCACTTCAACGGCAACTCGAATTCATCGAGATCCAAGAGGAATATGTTAAGGACGAGCTCAAAAACCTCCGACGAGAACATTTACGGGCACAGGAAGAAGTCAAAAGGATCCAATCGGTGCCGTTAGTAATTGGACAGTTCATGGAGATGATTGATCAGAATAACGCTATTGTAGGTTCAACTACGGGTTCTAATTACTATGTTAGGATACTAAGTACGATTAATCGAGAGCTTCTTAAGCCGTCGGCTTCTGTGGCCTTGCATCGCCATTCAAATGCGTTTGTTGATGTTTTGCCACCTGAGGCTAATTCCAGTATTTCTCTGCTTAGCCAATCGGAGAAGCCTGATGTTACTTACAATGTAAGTGTTATACTTCTGAGCTGCTCAGAGTAGGGTTTTTTTTGCTTAAATACATTGGTTAGGGTTTCTTATTATGTGGAGTCTTTTGTGTAGGGATTACTACTTGTTACAGTAATAATAGCAAATTAGAGGCTTTCTAAATTTCAACTTGAGGAAAATTATGAGTCTTTCTGAATCTCAGACTTATTTCAGCGTAGAATTCTCTTAATTTTGAATTTTGGTTATTGTAGCACCGAACTTATTGATCTCGTACAATAGAAAGTCAATTTTCATTAGTGCAGTGACCAGCTTACTAATGAAAACGAAAACATGTTGGGTGTAAAAGAATCTTTGTAGTTATGGAGGAAGTCATAATCTCCTAACATAGGTACTATGGCTTTTCTAGAGTCCTATTAATTGACTTGCTTTTCTAACTTTTCAGTAAGATGATTTGTTTCAGAAAGTGTTATATTGCTTAATTTATGTGCAACACTCAAATTCACAGTTTCACATGATTTCTCAAGCTTTAAGTTACTCTCATGGTGAGGGTGATGGTTCGACCACCCGACACCATTTGTTGATCCCTTTCCACTGCTGCATTTACTGTCGAATGTTCTATTGCTAGAGATCTCAATTGCAGCAGCTATATGCATTCCCTTTGTTAAATACGACTCTTGAAGTCTTCTTTTCTTAAAGAAGAATACTACCTAAAGCAAAATTTGGAGTTAAAAAGTTTGTATATGGGAAGATCAACTTCCTTACCGTTTGTTCTATTAGTCTTCTGCTTTAGTGTTAAATCTGCCGAAGAAGGAGGGGTGATTGTGGGTGGGTTCTTTTTAAAATAATTTTATTTTCATTATACTCCTTCCAACCACTTTTATTTGTCATGTTGTGTTTTTCGAAAGTTAACTTGACTAATTTCAAAGTAAAATTAGATTGCTATTTTTTTTACCCTCCCTAGGAGCTCTCACCCCTTTTACTCCCTTGGTGACTCGAACTCGCAACCTTCGGGTTGGAAGTGAGGGGTGCTTACCATCCGAGCAAATTCCTCTCGTCAAATTAGATTGCATTAATTTGATATTTAAACAAAAAAAATTAGATATTCAAAAACTATACAAAAAGTACTATAAATCGTAATTTTTTGCATATCAATATGATGTAAAAATGCATAGTAAAATGCTAGTCAAAGTTTTTATAGTTTTACTCTAAAAAATGATACTAGTCCTATATATACTAGTAGGACTATTTTTAAATTTATTTTTTTTACGCGTTTTGATTTTTTTGGTTTCTTTCTTTTTGCCACGACATTCTTTTGGATGATATTAAATTCAAGTAAAATAAAATTAGGAGGGTAAATAAACGTCCATGTAATTAAAATGTTTTTGTTTGAGAAAATGATATCACATACTCTCTTATAATTTGAATAATATATCAT